AAGACTTTGTTCTATTAGAAATCTGCTTCAGCATTTCCACTGTTATTTTACTTTTAGTTTATAGCTTTAACTTTTGCTACTTTTAGCTTTTAGTACTTTTATCTATAGCCTTGCGATAAATTTAACTTTAAGCTGCTTTTACTCCTTTTAGCTTCTAGCTATCCTTTTGCGACTTTTAACTTCTAGGCTTTTTAGTTATCCTTTTGTCACTTTTAGCTTTAATCTATCGTTTTGCTACTTTTAGCAATCTCTTTGTCACTTTTAGGCCTACCTTGCTTTAATCTAGCCCTTTAAATTCTAGTCAGGTTTTGGCTACTTTTAGCTATCATTTAGCTACTTTAAACTCAATGCTGGACTATAGCTACTTTTAGTTTCTACCTAGCTTTTAGTACTTTACCCAACCTTTTGCTGCTTTTAACTTCCAGGCTTTTGCTACTTTTAGCTTTCTGCCAGCTTTAGTAGCTACTTTTAGCCTTTTGCTAATTTTAACTTCCAGCTGTTTTTTGTCCTTTTAGCTTCGAGCAATTTTTTTGCTACTTTTAGCTTCTAGCTACCTTTCTGCTAGATTTTAGCTACTTTAAGTACATCTGTCACTGCTTTTAACTTCTAGCTACCACTCTGCTATACTTTAGCCGAACTTTAGTAGCCTTTTGTTATTTTTAGCTCTTTAATAGCCTGTTTCTAAATGCACCTTTTGATGAAAGCATTTAGCTATTTTTAGATTATTTTGTAGGTTTTTGCAACTTTTAGCTGATGTTCTTCAGTTTCAGCAAAAAATAATCATATTTACTAAAAAAGTTTCTCTTATTAATCTTCTACCCATAAATATTTTTTTCTCCCTAAAGTTGGATCCTTAATGAACCCTGTCATTCCTGGGGTTAATGATGCTCCAGGAGACGTGTTTGGACATGGGGACGGTGCAGACAGGTCCTCCTGCTCCCCCTCGCTCCTGTAAGGAGAGTAGACACTGGTCCAGGGAGCACTCCTCCTCCTCCCCCCCCTCCCCTCCGTCCTCTGCAGAGACGGAGCCTGAACTTTTCTCCCTTAAAAACCATGAACCAGCTGCTGCTGCGTGTCTTCCTCCCCGCGTGTCTCGTCTCTGAGCCTGTTCGTGTCATGACACGGTGGTGCAGAGCCGGATCGAAGAGGTCCTCACCGAAGCTGCTGGGTCTCCGATGCCGAGGACTCTTCCTGAGGGGTTTCAGTTCGCTTCTATGAAATATGCCATGTTCCCTGGAGCACTCGCTTCTTTTGCTGCTGCATTACTTTGTTTTCATTCTGGCAGCCGGCCACGAAGAGCTCTCTGGCAGACTCCTCTCCCTCTTTGCAGAGCAAGGTCAGTGAAACTGAGCATGTATATCTTTACTGAGTGCATGAGTTGTATGTATATTTAACAAAGAATGTTTGCATCCTTATATATAAGGAATCACAGTGAGCTCATGCCGTTAACATCAGCTGTGTGTTCTGCTCTTGTCCCACTCAGGCTCAGACGTGTCCATTGTCCACCCGGTGAAAACCAGCTCTGATGGGGACTTCATCTCCCACTCTCTGTCCCACCACTTTGAGAGTGGAAGAGTCAGGCGTGAGTTACGGCCTCCGTCACCAGAAGGACTGGTTTACTACCAGGTCAACTACAAAGAGCAGACTCTGATGTTCACTTTGACTAAGAACACTCACCTGGTGTCAGGTGAGTACGTCCTGGAGAGGAGGGACGGCAACAGGACCGAGCGTCACCTCTCTGAGGGGAACTCGTGCCACCTTCTTGGCACTGTGGAGGCAGCCGGTGTTAGGGGAACAGCTGCCATCAGCACCTGCAGAGGACTGGTAAGAGTTCACTGTGTTGCTTTCTTTCATCCAGTCAAAGCTTTAATCCAGCACATGAAAAGGAAGCGTCGCCCTGCAGCCCATCTGTGACTCAGGCAGCCCGTGAACTCTTCCCTCCTGTCTGTAAAGTTTGCTTTTTAAGGACTCGCTGGCAGTATTTGCATTAGGACTGTGCTGCAGACTCCCCGACTGCCGCTGCAGGCCTCTCAGTCAAACACGAAAACTTTCTGTTTTTCAGCTCCCTATACCATCTTTCACTTCACTGCTGTTTGTGCTTGCTGAAGTAAGCTTTTAACGGAGCATGCAGCCTTCCTTTGCTCTGTGCTAAAAAAAAGGAAAGCAAGAGCTATTTTTTATTGCATGGCTAAATAAGGTCTGACGGATGAAGAGACAGGAAAAAGAACCATACACTGTGAATCTGAGAATTCATGCTGTTTCACTCAGGCTGCAGATGAACAGAAGAGAACTCAGCTGGGCAGCAGATTTAGAAAAGACGAGTCCTGCACAAGAAGATGTTAAAAAAAAAAATAACACAGGAACCACTGGAAAATGTCTCTTTTCTTTGAAGCTTTACTCACCAAAGTTTGGCTCATTTTCAAGGAAAAAAAAGAAACAAATTTATGCTAATATTTTTATAAACGCCAAAGAGAAAGAACTCTGTTTTAGCCGTGAAGAATGTTTCTGTTTGTGTCCACTTTGTGTCACTGCAGGAATTCCTCTCCTCCCACCTCCTTGTTGTGTTTGTGGGGGTTGCACTGCGTCCTCCTGGCACATCTTGAAAAACGCACCAAAAAAAGCAGACAGAGCCAATTCACTGAAAAAAAAAAAACCCCTAAAATATAACACTGAATTTTCATTATCTAAATATATTTTTGCACAATCCCAAATCCCCTCATTTTTTTTCCTCCTCAATCCCAAACATGGGGCCTGTTGTGATATATTACATCCCTTTGTTCTGTGTTAGAAGGTTTATAGCAGGCAGAGACCACCGAACAGCAAGACTCAGACACACAGATGTTGGAGGGAAAGCCTGCCGGCTGCAGAGAGCTCATTCATCCTGATGAGACAGAAAGAGCAGAAAGAAAATATAAACTGAGAGAAATGTTTTTTTAATTAATCTCATAGTAAAATATAATGATGTCAGAAAGACAAAAACTGACGTAGAGTAAAACTGGAGGGTATTTTGTTTAAGGAAACACAAGTAAACACCAATAAAAAGTAAATTCTATAGTGCGAATTGTTAAGTTATCCACAACACAACTACAGATAAACCCACAATAAGAGACAAATCAAATGAAGAGGATTGCATCGTTTGTAGCGTATTCTGAGGTTTACATTAGAAGAAAACCTGCAAAAGTTTTTCTGTTTTTTTTTATTTTATTTTAAACCTTTTATCCACAGTGAGGCCATCAACATCCAGTTTGTTAAATTAACATTTTAAAATACCCAAAATAACAAATTTATCAGTCAATAACATGAGGATACGGTTACGTTTTGCAAGTTGGAGCAAAGAACAAGTTGTGTGAAGTAGGGGTGTGGAGGGTGCTGCAGCATCCCCAAAGACAGACAACATATGTACAAATAAATAGCTATAAAATTCATTTAAAAAACAGATTTAATCAGTGTTGCATATGTTTAAATTCATGATATTTAATTACAATTGAATGTTTAAATCACATATTTAGTTTTCATTTGTGAGCAAAAATGTAAAAAGAAAAATGCAAATTTTTGTTTCATGAAGGTGGAGGATTTTGGAGAGGATTACAGCTGTTGAAACATACAAAAAAATAAAGGGCAAACAAGGTAGTGTCATAAACAAGCAAATTATCAATAACAAATCGAGCCGTAAAATCTGACCTGAGCTGGACTTTCACCTAAACGGAGCTGCCTGAGAAAACAACGGAAAAATGTTTCCCTTTTTAAGTCTGCGTTGCATCTTAATTTGTGAAAAAGGTTTAAGGTTTTTTTTATTTTTAAAAAGGAACTGCTTCCTAATTTGTGTAAAGTCATTATAAACTCCTGTTTCATTCACACCTCTGCATCCGGCCACTTTAACAGCCTGCATCTGGTGACTGAAACATAATAAACCCACAGAGCTTCACTGCTGCAGGCTCCAATTTAAGAAGAAGCCGTTCCTGTTGTGAATAATCATAACTCTAGCAAATCTAAATCTAAGACTTTTTTTAAAATCAGAGTCTTTTGCATATCCCGAAGCAGAACACAAAGCAAGAAGCTACACGTTCCAATCCATTACAAAGGTATTTCTCTTATCTTACTGTACAGAATGTTTCTCAGCTYTACATAAATGAAAAATGCTAATAATCACTTTAATCTGCAAGGAAGAAATTACACATGATTACTCCTTGAACAAAGTAAATGGTTGATTGGTGCAACTTATAATCAAGCAGTAGTTGTTTGTATTTAAAAAATGCTTAGTTTGCTAAAAAATACTAGTGATTCTTTAAACCCACACAGCTCCCAGCACATAAAGACAAATAGAGAGCAGCTCAACCAGGAAGACCTGCTACAAAGAGGCTCATTGAGGACTGGGCCCAGGGCTCCGCAGGATGTGTTTGATGCACGTCACAAACTGACGTCCCACTGAGCAGCACGGCCCGAGAGGTTCTGCTCGTACAGTGTGGTTAGAGTCTTAGCCGTAATCCCTAAATTATCCAACACAGAGCTCGTGTGATGTCTCTCTGCTCAGCACACAAGAGTTGTTGAAATCATCTGAACAAAGATAATAATTACAATAAAAAAATGGAGAAAGACTTCAGCGATTTTTGCTCTCTGCCCTTCATTTTCTGGACTTCTCTCTTTTACATGTCTTCCTCCTCTTCCTCATTAATCCCTTTGCTCTGACCTGAAGAAAGCGCACTGTTTGAGGTGCCAGAGCCACGGGGCATTACCATAACACAGGTCTGTGCTCTAAATACACCAGCCATGTGGAACTGCTTTGCTTCTATTTCCTGCTTCTGTGGGGTTTTTTGCAGCGCCGGTTGACTGGACCTGAAATCAAGCTGCTGCTGTCCCACCTACGGCCTCAGACCAGTGGGACTCCTGTAACGTTTGCGGGTACAGAGCACGACGGGAAGGTTTTAATCACACGTTTGCGTACAGTTGTTTGGGTTTTTTTTTTGCAGAGACATGATTCCAACACAGAAACAGAGATCATGGAGCATGTTACTGTTGTCCCACAGGGTTTGGATGAAATCAGCTGTTCACTGTACCGAGGCCTCTGGGAACTTCCCCCCAGCTGAACGTAGACATATCAGCCCGCATGCTTTGGAAATGAGTCTTTCGCAGCTTTGGAGACTTTGGCCGAAGGCCACAGTTTGAGTCAATGCAGGAGGACCCCATTTTTTTTGTAATTAACTTTGAGTTTGCGCAAAATAAACTTCCGGTTGGAGAATTTTGTTTAGTTTTTGCATTTTTCTGTTATTCCGATTCTAGTTTATGATGGAAAAACACCCCAGAGCATCTTAGCTGCGTCCAACAAAGTGTCTGCTGATGTTTTGGGACACGGTGTAACAGATGGGGTAATATAGTCGTTCCAAAGGGAGGTCTGATTTCTGAACTCCCTGACTGCAGCCGTGTGAATCTGAGTCAGAGCTCTGCAGACTGCTGAAGGAGTGAACAGCCCCCCCCCCCCCCCTTCTGAGAAACAGATGTCAGACGTGCCAGGATGACCCAGAAAGCTGAACTGTTCCACAAACAGCTGGAAAGAACTCTGCAGAGAAGGAAGATAATCTGAGAATCAGACGAAATGTTCTAAGATTTATTTTCTTTAAGCAGAATGCGAAGGAAACATATTTTTCATTTGCTAAGTTGTGTCGTTGATTTGCCTCTTGAATCTTTCGTTTACGAGCAACGATATAAAAGATTAACCCTGAAACCATTTAATGAAACACATATTTCTAAAAAGAAAAAAACAATGAACGCCACATTTTTGAATGTGTTCAGTTATGAGAAACATGCAGGGATTTGTCTTTTTTTGGTGCGTTTGCGTGCAAATTCTGTTTTTTTTTTTTTTGAGTTAGGTTTTGTGCACAAATGCAAATATCCGTGTTCAGCATTCAGTGCCAGTACAAACATGTATGGCATACTGAACAAAAAGTTGTTGTATTGCTGCTGCTGCAGACGGAGAATGCGCCCGAGGCGAGGAGAAAGCTTCATTTTCAGACCTGTTTGCTAATGATAGACTGAAGCTGGCATTTCTGCAGGTTTTCAGAGGGAACATCTAGACTCTGACCTTTTAGTCACCGTGGTGAAACTCTCTTTTTGATGATTTGTTGGTGGGTTCAGCATGATTATCTCTAACCACAGTCTGAGATTGCATAAATCAGCTTTAGACATAATTTATGTTTTGCATTTATGATTGGAGTACGGCACTGCCGAATTAAGAAAAACATCCACCCAATTAAAGTTTTAGCGTTTCTTGAAAGCGTGCACCTCGCCTGCCGCCTTTCACACCAGGGTTTTGTGCTCAGAGGGGCTGAGATGCTCAGAGTACGTGTGGTGAATGAGTCACATTTACCTTGTAAACCTGCAGCTCATTATAATACTAATTATAATTCCACCTGCTTTTCAAGGTGTATAAAGTACTTGAAAAAAAAGAACTAAGTAAATGTAAAAATACCTTAACAGAAAACAACTTTCACCTATTAGAAAATATATTTAAAGTAAAAGTCATAACTCTGCAAACAATGATTGAGAAAGTAAAAGTAATTTTACAGGCACACAAAGAAATGAAGTGTTTGTTTTACTTAACCAAGTTCAACTGAACTCATTTTATGATGATTTGATTGATTGGTTTTTTTGATTCAGTCATCAAATAGTTCAACAATTCCAAATATTACAGAAATTTAAACAGCTTAAAAAGGTACAGGCGGAGACATTAGGCTTATTTATGCCTGTCCTACACGTCCAATTGAACTAAACTACCCTCATAATTATTGCTATGGACAAACAAAATCACAAAGCATTCAAAAGAGAAAAACATTTCTTAACTAAAACAGGTGCAATGACAATTTAAAGTTATTTACACTTGTAACACTCAAATTTACCTTGTAATTTTTTTGAAAACCTATAATGATGCTCATGAGTCCATGCTTGCATCATTCCATAATTTAATTCCCTTATTTTTTTCACAATTGATTTATGCTTTAACATGAGGTACAGTGTAAAGGCAGTGCAGTAGTTACATAGTTAACATTGTACCATTAACATACAAACATAATTGGGCTAGGACACACCCAATTACACACACATATACTTCCACATGAGATACTGTATGTGAAATGGATCAAGTCAGAATAAGAATACCGTGTTAGCGAACAAAGACAGATACATAAAAAAGTAAAAAAAAAAAAAAAATCAGGTGCCAGGGCATACTTCTGTCAAGTTTAACTCAAGAAAAAGAGCGAAAATAAAAGAGATATAGATAAGAAGAATAGTAATAAACACCAGCTACAAGCATACCACCTTCTCAGTCTGGAATATTAGGGAAATTAATCTTTCTAAGGGTTCTTAACAAGGGGCTCCACAGACCCAAAATTCTCATAGAAGAGCCTCTTAAAGTATAACGGATCTTCTCTAGTTTAATGAAATACAGTGTATCTCGGAGCCAATGTGTATAGGATGGAGGTTGAGGCGACTTCCATTTCATTATAATCACTCTCCGCGCCAAAAATGTCAAGAAAGCCAAGGAGGATTTCTGAGAGGAGGACAGGGAGGTTCCATAATTTAATTCCAACAACAACAACATTTTATTTATTTTTATAATTTGTCGTTATATTTCCGGTCATATTTAAATTTGTAAAGTGTAACTAGGTGTTCAGTTTTAAAATAAATAAGTAAAACGAGCTCTGTCAGTGTGCCCCAGGGCAGCTGTGGCTTCAATGTAGCTTGTTTGTGAATGGGTGAATGATTGACCCCTAAAGCTCTTTGGGGTCAAACCCTTTACCAAGCCATTTAAAAGAGTAATTTTTATTTGTTTGTATGTAACAAAACAAAAGTACAATAAAAAAAATGGTGAATTTATAGATCCTCATAAAATGACTTAAGTACTGTAACAAAGTAAAAGTACCTTATTACACCTCTGCAAACTGGAAAGTTTGTCATTTTAATGGTCTTTGTTCTACATTTGTTCTCCTCAGAGAGGATTCTTCTCGCTTCCAGATGGACATTTTTTTATCGAACCTGTTCAGAAATCACAGAAACATCCTGCAGGAACCCCAGAGCCACACTTGGTTTATCCAAGAGCTGCTGAAGGAAGTCACAGGATAAAACGTGGCGCTGACTCTGAACACAGCCCCTGTGGAGTCCAAGGTGTGCCTCTCACCTGGTGTGTGTGTGTGTGTGTGTGTGTGTGTGTGTGTGTGTGTGTGTGTGTGTGTGTGTGTGTGTGTG